CGAAACGACGGCGACTCTCCACGAACGCACCTTACACTGACCTGTACGAGCACGCTTAACTCAATTATTCATAAACCCACTTTAAGTTGCTTTATACGTGACGACAAAACAATATTCTTTTAAAAATTCTTCCCTCTATAATTAAAAAAAAGTTTGTATACTTTTTTGGAAGGGGCAAACGAGCATGCAGCCCGCCTGATAGTAAATGTCGACTGCCGTCCATTAACAACTGCAGCACCAGGGAAATTGCAGACGCGTTGACAGCCCTTTAATAAGGAGTAAGCTCGTTTCTTGAAGGTTGAGGAATCTCACCGGATCGTACACCAAGTCGTATCGATCCGGAAAAATCGCCGGTGACAAATGATTCCACAAAGAAAAAAATATTTTTGTAAACATTAAACGAAAATTTTTCATGCAGTGGGAGTCAAAGGCCACAGGCCTAAGGCCAAAGTGTAGATTAAAGCAAGATCAAATAAGGCACCCCTTATATCTAGTGTGCCACCAGACGGGTATTATATTTTTGATAATTATAATATGCATGTTAGAAAAGCTTGGAGACATCATTCGGCATCTCGGATGATCGCTTGCACATTAGTAATAATCAGTGAATGGTATCGTTGATATAACCGACGTGGTGGGAACCCCATGGATGTGGTAAGAGGCGACAGTATTTAACCTAAATAGAAGGTAGACAGCAGCATCTTCCTTCCCCGGTTGCAGCCCTGCAAAGCATGGTAACTATGGCATAATCATCAGAGACAATCTAAGAGGTATGTAGAAGGCTATTATGAATAATAATATTGTCCTCTAGACCGAATTTTTATAGAATAAGGGTGACAAACGAGCACACAGTCCACCTGATGGTAAGTGGATGCTGTGGCCCACAGACATCTATATTTATAATCGATTAAGAATCTAAACGCAGATGCGTTGTCACCCTAAGATGGAATGCCTTGTTACCAGTAAAAAAGGGTCTCCGGATCTCTACACACCTCATACGAAACACAGCAGTATTAAGCTGCTATTTTACGCTGGTATTCTGTGAGAGCTTGGTCCTTCCCCGGTCGAGTCAACCCACTCGTGCTACAACCATAATATTAGCATAATATTAGCTGCAACGTGGCTCTACCGCGTTAATTTCGGTAACGGCTGCCAGTCTCTACTCTCTCTAACGGGACGGCAGTCCGATTCGGTCGGAAAAAGAGCAGGCGCAGAACCAACGACTTTACATGCTTTCCGAGGCACGGGGGTGAAACGTCGCCCACTTACTGGTTCCGGGTCATTGCTGAGAATTCCTTGACAGAAAAACCAATTAGCAAATTTTAGACCGACTTAGTATTCGAACACGGGACTACAACTCTTCTCCCTCTAACGAACATTTACGGACTAATAAAAAAGAAGATGGCTTACATCTTCTCGTATAAAATGTAAGTTGTGTATTTGATTTTTTTGGACTAAAGCCCAACGTTGGTCCTTCGAGCTAGTTCAATGTTCAGCAACGATACGAGCCTACAAATAAGCAACTATAACTAAACAAATATACGTCTTTACAACTGTGTTGTTTTCTTTCCAATTTCGAACTCGCGTATTAATACTCACATTTTATATTTCATATATATTATAACGGCTGTGTAAGAATATCCACTCCTGCATATCGTCCCATGGGTGTAGTAAGGGAAACAAACAAGGACATGGACAGCAGGAGACATCAACCGCAGTATTCCTAGTAACAACCAGAAAATAAATCTGCGGCTACCAACCAGTCTGCCAGGCGTCACAACCATAGAATACTATAATACACAATAGAATGGCTGTCAACCTTATTTAATACGACGATAATCGTCGCCGGGAGCACACATACAAGCAATAACATCGTATTATCACTTACTACAAACCCGATTCGCTGTGTTGACAGACAGATTTTAATACACTTTTTGTTTTTTATTTATTTGTAAATAGCGTGCAATTTGGCATTTTCTAAATAATTTGCATGCGAAATTTGGAAACGATTGTAACGTCAAAACACATTTCGTGTTGACATTTATACGTGTGAATTGACGTGTCAGTGACATTTTAGTGGCTACGCGGGCTCCGCCCACTCCCCCGTTCTATTATGTATGTATTATAGTATTCTATGGTCACAACTATGTCAAAAATCCCCCTTTTGAGGCCATCTCCATCATATGGAGATCTATTTTATTATACGTGGTAGAGCCATGCTGCAGTTATGTTAGTAGTAAAGTTGTAGCACGAATGGGTCGGCTCGACCGGGGAAGGACCACGCTCTCACAGAATACCAGCGTGAAATAGTAGCTTAATTCTGCTGTGTTTCGTATGGTGAGTGTAGAGAACCATCTTAGTCTTTACAGGTGACCAACGCATCTGCATTTTGATTCGTAATCGAGGATACATGTAGGTGTCTATGATCCACAGCAACTTCTTACCATCAGGTAGGTGGACTGTGTGCTCGTTTGTCACCCTATCCTATAAAAAAATCTATGGTGCGGCCTATATTCTTTGACAGACTATAATGCATTAATTAATTAATGAAATGTTTATTTCAATTATTATGCAAAGGTTTGTTATTCCATCTTAGGGTCGACTGGTAGAGAATGCCATAGGATATTAAGTCCGCCCTTTATAAACTCTAGTTGAAGGTGGGCGACTGTTGCAGTAAAGGATAAATAAATACATAAATAAATAAAAAACAATCATAAATCGTCACGTAGTCGTTAAGGAGGTATAGAGTGTAAATGATTTTTAGCAGTCAATTTTATGTGTATATAAATCTACATAAAATTATTTAAAATACACTTGAATCCGTGTGACAGACAGTGCACAAGTCATCGCAATGTCGGAGCTCGTTACAAGTTTTGAATTATGAAGAGAGCGTTCAATATTTATGAAGCAAGTTCATAAAGTGGCACTTACAATTAAAAATAACACTTATATATAACAGTCGTAACGTTTTATTTCTATCGAAAAATATATTTACAACCAAGTTTAAATTAAACTTATTTACAATTTTCAATGTAAAATACAATCATAATAAGATCATTATAACAAATATAAACCAAAACCAGGCATTACATTAGATGTAAGTAAATTTGAGTAAAATTTTATTAGCTACGTGAAACTACAGACATGTAAGTCTTATATTTTCATTTCATGTACGGCTAACTAAATGTGTACCTTATCTTTAAGACAGTTTTGCCTCCGAGCTTAGTTACAAATTAAGAAAAAATCATTTGATCCTTAATAGTTGGAACATTTTTTTTAATATTTCCTTAAATTAAGTGGTAAAAAATCTAACAACAAAATTATGTAAACACTTATAGTTAGATCTGAGAGGAGATAGAGATGGGACAATCTAATATGACATCGTGGTCAAATTTTATAAAGTAGTAAAAAGGAAGAAAGGTATTAGACTAAATCTGAAATGAGACATGGTAAGCATAGGTTATGGAGGTATAAACTATGTCTTGGTTAAGATTGAATATACGATATGACTTTACAACATTATTAGTGGAATAATTTGTCCTCATCTGTATTTAAATCTGATTGGATGTCTTCAATGCAAGAGTAAATAGACTTTTGTTAAAATAAGTCGGTTAGTAGACAACTACTGCATTATAATAATTAAAAAAAAAGAAATAATCATAAAAAATCATCAATCAAAAGAAGATCAATAAATAAACATCATCTTTGTTCTTATTTTTAAACAATTATTGTAACAGTAATAATTATCTATCCACATAAAACACAAAAATGTTTCTACCTATGTCCGCTATAGACTTTAAAACCATCCAAGCGATTTTGATGAAATTTTTTGTGCGTGTGTTTGAATGTGTTTCTAGGTGGTTTATATTCACATTTGGACCCGGTACGTGGGTCTAGAAATCATTCGTGTGAATCCGGGGCGGATCTGTAGATACTTATTATCTTATAATAAGTATCAATAATTTTACGGCACATTACTTTTACGGCAGAAAACTGAAGGTGGATAGAATTACCATGGGTAATGTGGAGCGTTTTCATCATATCATAATGCTCCAAAACGAAACTATTTAGAATAAAAATCTTTTGTAAAAAAGGGTTAAATAAACATATATTTACATTTAAATAAACATATATAGTAACATATTATGTACAATATTGGTAAGAGGAAAAGAAGAGCGTTGACTCCTGCAACGCAGACTATCCTAGCACAGGAGTCAAAGATCACTGTTTGCACATTTCGTATTTTGTACTATAAGTTGATCAAATTGTAATATTGTGATTTCTGTAAATTTTATTGTGTGTATCAAGTTGTTATACGTTAATAATCAAAATTCTGCTGATATATATATATATATATATATAGGTTATCAAAGCTATAACGAACAGAGAAATATCGAGTGTTTTATGTTGTAGAATATTAGAACTGAAGATTATTTTACAATTAATGTACTTCTGTTTCCGTCACATATAGGTAATTTGTATTGTATTGATTGTTCTGAATAATTGCAATCAACGGATACACATAGGGTATGTTCCGAAACGCTTCCAGTATACTGCCGAATACAAATGACGTCATTAATTGACGCCATATTGAACTGGCGTGCCGCCACCATATTGTGTCCGATATCCGGTCATATTAAAACAATTTTAATTGTGTGTACGCTGAATGAAGCATGCCAGAATTTGTTTTTATTTATTCAAATAAAAAAAATTATAGAATAATTGTTAGTATCTCCATTAGGAGGATATAATGACTTTTGGAGCACAAAGTGACGAAATAATCGCCAACACTTTTCCAATATGACGAAATGTATGATGTCATATACCTACTGTCCACTGTTTTGAAACGAATCACCAGTATGGCGTCGATTTGTGACATCATTTGCATTGGCCAGTACACTGGGTTCTATTAGAGCTAATCAGATATCAACGTTCCGTATTCACGTTGGTAAATCCGTTTTTGTATTCCTAGCGCTCTCACTCTCTATGGGTATTACCCATCACCATTTAATATTGAGCGCGATATCTGACTTTTGTAGCGCGTGGTAGGAGGTGTGCAGCAAGGCTTTGGCTTTATCCGAGTGCCGTCCGTCGAGGCAGTGCGTGTACACGTGGTGTGCCTCGCGGCTGCGCGCGGGCTCGGCGCTCGGCAGCTCGCGGTAGAGCTGCTCCAGAGTACCCACCAGCTCGCGCCCCGCCCCGCCCACTGCACGCACTTGTGCACCGCCGTTCAGACAACCTGAGTGTACAACTCCGCCGTGAATACCTCTCTAAATTTACTTTAATAGTGACAGCCAATTCAAAAACAGTGATAATGACGAAATCGGGTGATACAGTTTGATGTTACAACTACATATCTATCATCTATATCCAAAATTTAATCACACCACTCGATAGCCGAAAGATCGAAGAATTCGTTACGTTGAGTGAACACTTTGACGCATCGCGCGGCGGAAGGCGGAGCGCCGCCATTTTGAGGTCATATTGCTGTATGTACTCACGTAAAACACGGGCGTGTCCACAATACAACCACGCCCCGTTTTTTTCTGTGCTTTTCTATTTACAGCTTTCTTCCACAAGTCCACTACACACACACATTAAGTCAACGTCCAGATGTCATAAGTCACCCCCATTAGGGGGGGATGGTTGCCACGCTTGACAGCCGCTTTGGCAACCGCAGTTTTCTATAATTTTATAGAAACGCAGCTAACTTTCCCCGCACTATACTACGGGTAGTAGAACTATAAGATAATTTAATTTTTAGTATGTTTTTTTTTCTATTATTTTTTATAATAAATAATGTACTGCCTCTTTGATCTAATGGTTGTACCCAATAGCGCGACCGCTAATCATGAGGTCCTGGGTTCGAATCCTGGATCGGGCCAAAAAATCAATTATTGAAATAAGACAAATTTCTACGGATTTTATCGCGTACATTAACTTTTTATGTACCCGGTGTTACGAGTACTTTACAGCACCCATGTTTACGGGGGGGGGGGACTGAAATGTTCAACATCCAGATGTCATAGTTAACCGCGGTTAGCAAAATATTAATTCTAATCTGTGGTAAACGCATTTAACTATGACATCTGGACGTTAAACATCTCAATCCCCCCCCCCCCAGTGAACATGCGTGCTGTAGTGCTCGAAACGTGGGGTAAATAAAAAGTTAGTTCATATACACGAAAAAATCCGTAAAAAAATAGTATTATTTAAATGTGCAGTGTTCGCGTTAATATAAGAAATCATTATCAATTATTGAGTTTATCGTCAAGAAATTCTCAGTAGCTGCCCGGAGTCAGGAAGTTGGCGGTGTCTCACCCCCGTGCCTCGGATGCCCTGTGCCTGCGCCTGATCTCTCTCCGGTCGTGTCGGTTTACCGTCCCACCGGATTGATGAGAGTGAGGGAATAGAGAGTGCACCTGTGCTTGTACATACACTTTGACACCATAATCCTATCCTGCGCCGATGCCTAGCCTCCGCTGAGGCTAGCCGCCGTGATCGAAATGCGGTCTGAAGGAAATTATTATAATAACTCTTAATTATTAACACAACAGTAAAATTTGGTTGAAAGAAAACAAAAACACATCAGTCTCACCAGAGGGACAAGCCATGACCTCGACGTAGTGGTAAGGTGACTTGCCGCGCTTGAGCTTCTGCACCAAGTTCTGGATGTTCCGGAAGCCGTTGGCGATGGCAACCTTGAGGACCTCCTTGCCATCCTTCTCTAAGACCAGCTCTTTGAAGTCGGGATTCCTGCGAAATCAAATATATTTAGTTTACCGATAATAGAAACAGTAAATATTAGACATTATTGAGGAATATAAGTAGCTACAACATACAGTTATATTCACTATGATGCCCTACTCTATGATATATTTCAGTAATACATAGTTATGTAGTCAGTCAGAATCTGATTTATCTATCATCATCATGATCATCTTCAGTACAGCCCTTCACAAGTCCACGGCTGAACACAGACCTCTCCCAAGGAATTCCGTAATGCACGATCCTGATTCACCTGCATCTATCGATTTCCTACATGTCATATGTCAGGTTACTTCATCCAATGGGGGGTCGGCCTAGAATTCGCTTACTGGTACGAGGCTGCCAATGGAAAACCTTCTTTTTTTCTTCTCCATCGGTAAACCCGCTTCATTTCTACTTCAGCTTACCGACCCGTTGGGCTATGTCGGTTACTCAGGTTACACTGCGAATAACCTCATTTCAAACTGTATTACGCGGAGAAACTACAAGAATACACCTCCTTGTAACTCGCTGAACGACCTTAAGCTTCCTCATACGGCCAGCGGCGAAGGACCGCATCTCGGATCCATATGTTATCACTGGCTACAAACAGTTCTCATTCGAGTACACTCTTGTTTTCAAGTTTGAGGAATACGTGACGAAAACATGTTGAAAACTCCCAAACGCGATCCAACCGAGTTCGATCCGTCAATAGACCTCTCGGTCAAAGTTCAACTTACTTTGTCGGACAATTTGTTGTAGTGAAACATACTTGTCAACGACTTTGAGCGTAGTGTCTCTAACAACTACCAGCATATGTGTGACATGGATATTACACATAGGTAACCTGTGCCTTATCCATGTTTATTTTTAGATCTTTCTTTGTGTCGTATAAAAATATTCGTTCGAATTCAAATAAGAACCTGACTAGTGCATGTTTGTAAATAAAAATAACCCTTAGAGCTTGTATACTCAGCTAATCGAGGAACAACTCTCAAAATAGAATAATTTTAACGGTTTCATAATACAATGAAATCTTACATTTGAATTTCGTCGCACTCAAATTAAAATAGAATATCGCTTTAATAGAAAATACTTCATTAACATATTAATTAATGATTATAACCAGCATTTACAGAATTGTATATAATATCCGGTATGGTCTAGTGGCTAGGATACCTGGCTCTCACCCAGGAGGCTCGGGTTCGATTCCCGGTACCGGAAAAGCTTTTCATATTTAACTTTTTTGTATTAAATATCCATTGATATCAAATATAAAAGATGGTTACTTATAATAGTAATAACTACTCCTCGTAATTTCGATAATAATTATTAGGTACTCATTATATTTTTAGTTTTCATTGACTGACAATGTTTTGAAAAACAATTAGGCAACAAAAAAAATTAAAAAAATCGAAAAATTTTTTTGCTTAATTTGTTATATTTATTTATTAAATTCGGTAAAGACTTAAACCATCTATATTATTAGACATTGAGACTTTGAGTTGGACGTATAATCATTTATCTGTCATTTTTTGTCGTTGATACGATTGTTGAATTAATAATTAACCTGTATTAAATAACTAGATAATTACTCATTTTAATAATACCGGTGGTTCAGGAGAATGTTTTATGACAGTTATTAGGGGAGACCTTAATTTTGCAGTGAACGTCGGATGGCCCAAGTTTCATAGAGTTAAGTTGACAGAGTCTGTGTAATACAAAGTATAAACTATTAGAAAATTTTCTAATGTTAAAAAAAAGTGAATTAAAGGATATATTGTTACGAGCTTAGAACATTTATTTCTTGAGTAGCTGATGATTCGAAGTATGAAAAAGGAATGCGTGTGTAACGCAGTACGTTTTCGACATTGTTACGTGAAGAGGTCGCGCGAGGTTGCGCGGGGTCACGCGGGGTCAAGCAAGCCCCCGGCTGCGCAAGCTGACCAATTGTTTTGCATCGCGGTCAACATCGTTCCATATTCATTAGTTATTAGTTACGAGAAAGTTCCGCATCTGTAGCGAGGTACAGCCACTACCGAAAGTTCTATCGATAGTAATTAAAGTACTAGATACCAATAATGATCGATAGTTTGAAGTAATCCGATACAGCCACTATCAAAAGTCTACTACTGAACATAGGTCTACCTACGTCTGACAGGCGGGTGGGCTAACGGAGTTTATTATGTTTATTTGTTATTAGAAAGACCATGCTCTTGCCACACTTACTACTTTTTTTCGCACCTATAGGGATATGGATATGGGGTACTGAATATCCTTACATCGCATAGACAGAGAAACCTATAGACAAATTGACTCCTTCTTTCGCATTCGCACACGATAAAGATAGATTTATGTATACGTTTTGCATAGAAATGAGACAGAGCGGTGTGATTGTTTGTCCCTTTCTCCGTGCCGGATTTTTTGTTTAGCAAACTGCACTTTGCTAGACAACTTTGACAGTTCGTAGCGATCTAAGGAGTTTACAAGTTGATTTAATTGAGAAAAAAGTGTTTTGTGAGCTTAAGATTGGTGAATCTTGTTCAGTTCAGTTCTTAGAACAATTACATTTTTTTATCTATATATGTTTAAAAGTCATAAAGATTATTGTATAACCTAAAACTACGTTATCGTCCCTTCCCACCCGAGGTCACGCTAATAATTAGTCTATTAGTTTCTCTGTCTACGTTACACTGCCACTATACTGTCGGAGTACAATCAAATTTCTAAATTTTAAAAGGAAATCAAATTGCGACTTTGGTTTTTAAACAGCTCATCCAAATTTTTCAGACAGACTTCAAAAAGTTCTCGATTCGACCCAATTTATTTTATGTGTGTTACCTCAGAACTTTTTTTAGATGAATCGGTTTTGATGATTATTTTTTTATCAAGATAGGGCCTATATAAATTTGATCAAGATCTGACCAGAAGTTTTTGAGTTATCCTTAATAATGCGTATTTAAATTGACTTTGACTACATTGATGATGTTCTCATTTTATTTATATTGAAGTCGGTTGTACAAAATTTTTAATTTTATCACTTGTATACAGATCTCATTTCCACTTTTTTAAATTAAAAATATAAGAATCAAGCTGATACACAAAATGATTTTTTTAATCTCTACAGCAGAAATCACACATGTTTTAATTGCTGTGGTCTATTAACTAAAAGATAAGTATTATAAAAAACTATAAACTTTATTTTTATATAAACTGTTATTATAAAATTCTAAACTAATAAATATTATTTTAATGGATATGGTCTATTAACTATAAACTATTACTTTATACAAGCTATTAATGATAATAATGGTACATATATATATATATATATATATATATATATATATATATATATATATTAAATCATCTAATCACTAAGTATAGTAATAAATATATAAATTTAAGATAAATCAGTATATACATCAGATTATGCAATTTACATTAATTATGTTATCACCTAATATACTATTAAATCCAAGTACATCTAAGCAATACGTGGAATAATTCCAGGCGGTCTCTTTGTATTTTTAATCTCTTTCGTTTACCTTTTCATAGTATAGCTACTATTATATAATACAGCTGTAGAGTAATATCGATACTACTTCTGAACTTGTCGATAAATATCGATAGTATGCCTCGCACTAGTAATTCTGCTCCTCAATACCGGTACGTGGGATTTAACTTCCCCATTTTTGAATAATTATATCATCATTTTTATATCCAGTATATCCGGAGAGGAATGAAGTCCGGCAGCGCACAGGAGCAGAACGGCACACTAATTGTTCCAGAACCCTCTAAAAACGAGAGGAACGTTTTACGTGGTAGAGCCATACCGCAGCTATGCTATAGTTTTAGCACGGATGGGTCGGCTCGACCGCTCGAAAAAGGATCACGCTCTCACAGAATACCAGTGTAAAATAGCAACTTAACGCTCCTGTGTTCCGTATAGTGAGTGTAGAGAACCGGAGACTATTTTTCCTGAAAACGAGGCATTATATCTTGGTCCTCAGGAGTGGCAACGCATCTGCATTTTCATTTTTAATCGAGGATAAATTTAGATGTTTACGGGCCACAGCATCCACTTACCTTCGGGTGGACTGTGTGCTCGTTTGACATCCTTATTCTATATACCTAGAAGCCCAAAGTATATAAATAAGTATTTTGTGTGTTTATAGTTACAATTATTTTTCTTTTTTTTCTTTTTTCTGTAAATGCTATTAATTTTTCTTCTATGAAGTGAATCTTTCCTTGCAACTGGCGGGTGGGTTTGTAAACCATTTTTTTTTCTTTTTTTTCTTATATTTATTATTTATATTATATTTATAGTTTGATATCTATGATTTCCAATAATGATAATTTAGACGACAGTTTTTTTTCCCTCGGTGATTCAGATGGATTGAGCAGTAATGACAGTTTTCATAGCATCCCTTCTTTAAGTGAAACTCTTGATTCTCATTTCTCAGATACTCTGAAAAACTTTAATGTTGTTCATATAAATGCCCAGAGTATTCCCGCACATTATCCTGACATGTTGTCCTCATTTTATAATGAAAATATACATGCGATATTAGTTTCTGAATCTTGGTTAAAACCATGTTTGCCTTCAATATCTTACTCTCTTCCCGGATTCCACTTGATTCGCAATGACCGCCTTGGGCGCGCTGGCGGTGGCGTGGCGATTTATTTAAGATCACACATTCCTTACACAGTTTTAAATACTTCGCAGCCAGTGTCTAGCGCCGGCCCTGAACACCTATTCATCGAAATATTGTTTGGACATTTAAAGCTTCTTCTTGGTGTCTATTACAGTCCAAATGTTACAATTGATTATTTTTCAGCATTTGAAATTCTTTTAGAACAATACTCCTCGCTTTATAATCACACTATTGTCATGGGAGATTTCAATACTTGTCTTCTCAAAAATGATGTTAGAGCATCCCGTCTGAAATCTCTTGTTAATGGCATTAACTTACATATTCTCCCACTTTCAGCAACTCATGCTTTTCCTAATTGTGTACCTTCTCTCCTTGATTTAATACTTGTTTCTTTCCATTGACCATGTTGCAAAGCATGGTCAATGCAATGCCTCCGCTTTTTCTTACCATGATCTACTTTACCTGTCCTATAAATTAAAACCTCCTAAGGCTAAGCGAAGGATCCTTCTCCGGCGCAATTTTAGTAGAATGGACCTGGATAAGTTACGAGAAGATACTGCTAAGGTTGACTGGTCAGTAGTTGCGAATGCTGGTTCGGTTGATGAGCAGATATCTATTTTTAACAGCATACTTACACAACTGTATGACATTCACGCTCCAATTCGTCCAGTTCGAATGAAGCATCTTCCTGCCCCCTGGCTCACTGCCGATATAAAAAAACTTCAAGAAAAAAAGAACATAGCGAAATCTAAATATCGTATGAATCCTAATGATTCTAACCGAGAGAAATATAACAGGGCACGAAATCGCTGCAATATGGTGTGATGGTAGAGATAGTCAACGACGCCATATCCATAAATCTGTTGTTGAGGAAGATAACTCAACTAAAGTTTGGAACTTTCTCAAATCTTTAGGGGTTGGAAAAGCAAAGCGTAATGTAGAATCTCTTAATTTGAATTTAAATAAGCTTAATGCTCATTTCCTCTCTAGCGCCACTATAGACAGTGCTACGAAGAAAAATACACTTGCTCAACTTTCTGCTATATCAACTCCCAATTTATCCTCTTTTGTCTTTAGCCAAGTTACTGTCAGTGATGTTAAGAAGAATATATTAGCCATTACTTCCGACGCAGTTGGTTCTGACAGCATTAGTCGTAAGATGATTATCCCAATACTCGATCTTTTAGCTCCTATACTTACACTTATTTTAAACCGTTCCCTTGACACCAGTGTTTTTCCTTCATCCTGGAAAGACGGCCTAGTAACTCCACTCCCTAAAAAATCTAATCCGACATATGAGGATTACCGTCCTATATCCATCCTTTCCTTTCTCTCTAAAGTACTCGAGCGCCTAATATACCAACAGCTGAGCAAATTCCTGTCCAATCATAACCTTTTGAATTCATTCCAATCTGGATTCCGTCCCGGTCATAGTACGACTACGGCTTTGGTTAGAATCACTGATGATATTCGCCTGGGCATGGATAGTCAGCAGGTTACAGTATTGACATTGCTTGACTTTAGTAATGCCTTCAATACTGTAGACTTTGATGTTTTACTCGCTGTCCTAAGTTCTCTTAACATATCTCCTGAAGTAATTGGTTGGTTTCATAGTTACTTGCATGGGCGCCGGCAACGTGTACAAATTCAAGACACGTTTTCTGACTGGTCTGCTGTCAAAGCTGGCGTCCCACAAGGTGGCGTGTTGTCTCCTCTATTGTTCTCTATCTTCATCAATTCGATCTGTTCCCACATAACTTCTCTTTACCACCTATATGCAGACGATTTACAAATCTACTCCCAATGTAAGATTGCGGATCTCCCCAATACAATTAGATTAATTAATGAAGATCTTATTCGTATTTCTCTTTGGTGTAATTCATTTGGGCTTAAAGTTAATCCATTGAAGACTCAAGCCATTATTATTGGGAGTTCGAAATTAATCTCTCGGTTAACTTTGTCGCTGCTCCCGCCAATCATATTCGATGGAACACTTATCCCATACAGTGACAAAGTTAAGAATTTAGGTATTATGTTCGATCAGACTTTGTCTTGGGGACCGCAAGTTAGTGAAATAAGTAAAAAAATGTTTGCCGCAGTTGGTTCACTTCGAAGATTACGCAATGTTCTCCCCATTCCTACTAAAGTTGCGCTGGCTCAGTCTCTTCTTTTACCGATCCTTGACTACGCGGACACTTGTTATCTTGACCTAACATACGAGCAACTTAATAAACTTGAGCGGCTTCAAAATTATTGCATAAGGTTTATATTTGGGTTACGAAAGCATGACCACATATCCGAATTCCGCCATAAGCTCAAGTGGCTCCCGATTCGTCTTCGCAGGAATACTCACATTCTTCATCTTCTTTACTGCATTCTGTTCAACCCGACCACTCCTTCTTATTTGAAAGTCCGATTTATATATTTAAGTAGTTTACACTCTTTACCCTTACGATCTCAAAATAACCTCCTTCTAAGTACCCCTAGTCATTCCTCTTCCTTCTATTCTAATTCTTTTACGGTTACCGCTATACGACTATGGAATTCTCTCCCCTTACATATTAAAAAATCTAAATCTCTTCCTATATTTAAAAATAAATTAAAACTTTATTACCTTTCCTCTTAAGTTACTACCTGTCGTCATTCATTTTTTTTTCTTCTTTAATCATTTATGTTCTTCTATTTATCTTTCTTTATCATATTCTGTACACCCCTTCCGCTATCTTTTAAAATAGTATCCTCTGCTCTAAGGTTGCCTGGAAGAGATCGCTGTTTTAGCGATAAGGCCGCCTGTTGTACCAATGTCCCTTTAAATATATAAATAATGTAATATGTTCCTTGGTGTACAATAAAGTATATTTTACTTTACTTTTACTTTACTCTACACTCACCACACGAAACACAGCACCATTAAGCTGCTATTTAACGCTGGTATTCTGTAAGAGCGTGGTTCTTCCCCGGTCGAGCCGACCCATTCATGCTACAACCATAATATAGCTGCAGCGTAGTTCTACTACGTATAAAAACCTCTTAAGAAGACTCTTAAGAAACTATTATGAAAATCTTTAATAAAAGACTTTTTTTCCTAGAAACGCGGTGTTCCATCTTAGTTTTCAGTGGTGACAAATTATATTATCAATCGAGCATTTAGATTATCAATCAAGGATAGGTATAGAAGTCTATGGACCGTTGCATCCATTTGCCATTTCAGGTAGACTGTGAAGTTCATCTGCCACTCCTGCTCCTAAAAAAATTGTGCGTGTAATTGTGCACACACGTATGAAAAGACACTTCTTTACGGTATCATTCTTCTTCATATTTTACGCAAGTAGGTTAAATTATATTATACTCAAACAACACCGGCGGTGAAACGTTACAAGAAAACGTGACATTTTTATATTTTAATACCGTACTAAATATCTCGACTACGTCGATAAGGTAGTTTTACTTGAAGAAACCTGCATGTCAGAGGAATAAGAAAATATTTCGAAGACATGTGAAGTTCGCCAACACGCATTGGGGCAGCGCGGCGGACAATTCCTTGCCCTAAAAGCCTCTCAGAAATGAGCGGAGGCCTGTGCCCAGCAGTGGGACGTATATAGGCTGTAACTTTACTTTTTACTTTACTTTACTTGAAGAAAAAACTAACCTCAGGTTGCGGTAAATGATGGGCACGTCTGTCTCCCCGAAGAGCTGTTGTGCGGCGTGCACGAACACGTGGTGCGCGTAGCCGCCCGAGCCCGAGCCCGCGTGCGCGCGCAGCGCCCCGCCCCCTGCACCCGCCCCCTCCCCTTCCAAAACCAATTCCAATTCCGCGGCGGGCGCTTCGCTCAACGACTTGCCGCTACTCTCCAGCATCTGTTCCAGCTCAACTGCCACAATACAGGAACACGTCAACTTTTTAGTTCATTCATCACAGCCTATTCGAAGTGCTCCATTGTTGACACCGGTTCTAACGCGTCTTTTCCCTTATTCATTATTTATTTATTTTTTATTATTCTAAGCCAGCGTTTAGCTACAATCCCACCTGATGGTAAGTAGTGATGTAGCCTTAGATGGTGAAGCGTACTGAGTTAACGAAAACCTATTCACTCTTGCCTTGAAAACACCCACATTGTAATCGGATGAAAAGACAGACGCTGGCAACTTATTCCACTCCTTTGCTGTACGCATGATGAACGATGTAGCAAACCATTTGGTTCGAATGCGTGGTAAGTCAACAACGAAAGGGTGGAGACTGGTCGAACGTCTGGTTGTCCGATGGTGGAAGGGAGAGGGAAGAATTAAATTATGCAATTCCTGCGCACACTCTCCGAAATGCATTCTGTAGAAAACCGAAAGGCTGGCTACTTTGCGCCTGTGTTCGAGGCTGGTAAGATTGGTTTTAACCAAATTCGGGTCACCAATAAGCCTCTTAGCACCCCTTTCCATTGAGTCCAAAGCTGCTAGGTGGCATTTTGCAGTACCAGCCCATATATGGCAGCAATACTCCATGCACAACCGGACTTGCGCTTTAAATAAAGTAAGCAGCTGTCCCGGCGTGAAGTATCATCGCACCTTTGCAAGGACTCCTAGCTTCCTTGCAGCTGCTTTGGCCCTGGACTCAATGAAACGCCCGAAGTTCAGATTTGAGGATATCCCAACTTAACTCTTTACTTTATTTATTTCCATACCATACGACATAATGTATGGTATTTTGCTATGGGGACACGCGACTGACACTGAAATTATATTTATTTTACAGAAGAGGGCCATTAGAAAAATATATAATTGAAAACCAAAAAAGTCACTAAGACAAAAATTTAAGGAAATTAATATATTAACTCTGACCTCTCAATACATTTATGAAAATGTAATGTACGTACACAAAAATAAAAGTAGTTTTGCGAAAATAAGTGATATTCATTCTGTAAATACTAAAAACAGACACAAGCTAGTAGTACCAGTTCCTCGACTCCATCGAGTCAGTAATTCATTCTTGAGGAGATGTATACGCTTTTACAACAAAATCACAGAAAATATACAAAATTTGTCATACACGAAGTTCAAAAATGTTATTAAACTAAGTTTGTATAAAAAGGGTTATTATAATATTAAGGAATTTATGGATTATAATACCCCTTGGAAGGGTGATTGCTACCAAGTTAAAAAAAATAGTCCCGCTGGGTTTCTTGCTGGTTCTTCCCAAGACAGAGGTTTTTTTTGCGAACCAGTGGTAAATGAAAAAAAGTGACTTTCAATAAGTATTGTTATAATGTACATTGAATAAAAAAGTTTCTATTTCTGTTTCTGTTTCAACCCCCAGCTACTGGAGGCGGTCGCTGTATTCCAGTGGATACACTTCGGAACGAAGGAGCCAAGGCGAGCTAGTTCCTTTTTGCAGTAAAGAGACACGCTTGTGTTTTGGAGGCGTTGAATTTTACAAGATTGGTATCGCCCCATTCGGAGACTGCCTGTAGTGTGAGATTCATACGCTCTACCATAGTTTCTCTTTCGGACTGGATTGGATCCCGACTGGCCCGACGACTTGGTTGGTATCTCTCCACAACTGTGCTGTCGTGTGCTGCGTACCCATAGATACCGGGCATAAGATCATTAATATGCACAGCAGAAAGAGAGTTGCGGAGAGAACGGACCCCTGAGGAACACCTAATTACTCCCTAGGCGTAGTCCCAAATTCGTGGAAGACAACTTTCGTGCACCCGATCTCTAAAAAAAGAACCCCACTGATCAAATTAATTTTTTTTAAATTATTTTAGAGTTATTATCAGGAAGATGCTGCGATCCATATCCCGTTTCATTTCCCTTAATCGCCTTTTACGACACTTGTGGTTTCTTTTAAGCAGAGATGGGCCGGATATGGATTTCACCGAATCGAATATTCGGCCGAACGTTCGGTTAAACTTTTACCGAACCGAATATTATTAGGCAGGATCTCCTCGGTACTTAACCAATTTATGTCGAAACTTGTTACCGTAAAGCGTGCAGGATTAGCGCCGAGCCCTTCCCCTCGCTCCCCCGCAACGCCTGACATGTTATTGAATCATCTAGTACTGAACAATTTGCCAGCACATGCTTATTTTTGACTACTTTTGTCAAAAAAAAGTATTTCGTTGTGTTATTCTTAGTGAAAATTGATAATTATAATATGATAAAAAAGAGTGGCGGGAGATCTACTATTTGGACTTACTTTAGAGAAACTAACGACCAAAGTAAAGTGAAATGTACTAATGTAAAGAATTTTTTTTGTATGTTCCAAAAAAAAATATCAAGTTTTCTATTTGCTATATTTGGAGATAAATCTACAGCGCCTAAAAAACGTAACACTATATAAGTAGATTTTACCCATAAATATACTATACTACCATAATACTTTCAAAACAGTAAAATTATTAAAGACATGTCATTACTCAATTCTAACACTTTAACGAATGTTCGGTGATTTTTAGCCGAATATTCGGCCGAATACGAATATTCTGTTAAGCTGCCAAATATGCCGAATACCGAATATAAAACGAATATTCGGCCCATCTCTACTTTTAAGTCCATATAATAATAATAATTATTATTATTATATCTCAACTTTACGGAAATTTAAATCCAATTGTGGACTATAGGCCTGTGGTGGAAGAAAAAATTCATAGACATCCAAAGTCCGTCAACATACACTGAAGCAGTGCGGCAGAAATTTTCTTGCCCAAAACTCTCTCAGAAACGAGAGTACTAATCGCAGTACGTAACTCTAGCGCTGAACAAAACGTGGAAGGGATAGCTGCGGGGACGGAATGCAACTGGAGAGCCAAAGAGCGCGTGCAAACGATACGCACAGACAATCATACGCAATAATGCGCAATAACAGTCACCGCCAGACTTTCGTGCCGCGAGTTATACGTATGTGTCCAGAAGTGAAACATATAGATACTATAATTTGACTTTCTTTACTTTAAATAATTGACGAAGGTAAAAGCATCACAACTTACTAGCAGTAATGACACAGTCGACGTCCTGGCATTGAAGCAGTTCACTGTAGAAGTCCTCTCTAGAAGCTTCCAGCTTCTTATCGTAGCATGGCATTAGGGTAACGTGGTACACCGCGCCGGGTTTCAACTGGCGGTTCTGAGCCAGGACACGCTTCACCAACGTCCCCATTATTTGCTGCGGGGACTTCGTGGTGGATATATACGGCAGAATGAAGTTCCCGTGGGTTTTCTCCGCGTAACACACCCAGCCTGCGACCCAAATAAACATAGATAATATTGTATGTCATATGTTATGTTACTGTAGAAAAAAAAGAAAACTGTGACCTAAGGTTCAAGACACACTACTAAGAGCTACGCTAAATACTTAATGGACTCCAATGCAGTTATTTGTAGAAAAAAAACTGTTACCCCCACACTACAGATTTTAAAATCGCACCTGTATGTTTAAATTATTTATTACGCCCATATAAGGCGGCTCGCAGCGCCGCAGTAAAACGCTTGAATTATGTAATTCCTATGCACACTTCATCTCTTGGGTTAAGAAAGACTACTATTACAGGTAATGCCAAAACATTTGAATCTTGCATACGCAAAATATAAAATGCCCACACTAGCTATAGGCAGAAGCGCCAAAGGTGCAAGACGTCTAGTATTGGAACTGCCAATCCGTTTGCTAAGCATGAACATTAAGGAAAACCTTACTTAAAATATATGACTGATGCTGAAAAAAAGACAACTACAGCTTATAGTACACGCGGCGGCACGAAATTTTGGCCAAGCCCTAATCTTCCGGTAACAAAGTTGTGAGTGTTCATAATGAATATTTATTGAGAGGGTAGGTCAAAAAAATGCTTACGACGAGTTCAAAAGGATAATTCACTATGAATAAGTGGGTAACTTGTTTCAAGCTTTACTTGAATCGGGTCATTTGAGCGACTAACTTGAATTTTTTAAAATTAGGATTGTGAAAAGTGTACCGTTCGGATACTGATCTTTCGTGCATTTGTGCGTTTAATTCAATATTTAAAGGTGCAATAAAACTAAGAAAAATGCACCTAACACCCGCTCAGGTTGCACAAGCCGTAGCATTAATCGACTAAGAGTTGACGCAACGTGAAGTGGCCATAGCACTTAATGTACCAAATTCCTCAATGCAGCATGCTTTGAGACGACACCAGGAGACTGGCAGCTAGACCAGGTAGCGGAGGTGTAAGATGCACATCGGCCCGGGACGATCGCTTCATTGCCCTAGAAATCCGAAATTGCTACTCTTCTTACTGCACTTGAAATTCGCCAGCGGCTCCGAATCACGAGGGGTGCTAATGTTAGCGAGCGTACGGTGAGAAGATGCATGGAGGAAGAATATTTAAAAGTCCGTAGACCAGCACACATCCCAGAGCTTCTCAGATAGCACCGAGGAGCAAGACTTCGTTTTACCCGAGAACACGCTAACTGGACTCACAAGCAGTGGGCTAAAGTTTTGTTTACAGATGAGTGTGGCATTACATTACGTGCATCAGACAGTCGAGAACGAGTATGGAGAAAAAGAGGAGAACAATTTTTATCCATTATCACTACACAAACAGTGAGTTTTCACGGAGGCGCCATAATGGTGTGGGGAAGAATAAGTTCTGATGCTCGTACAGAGTTGATTATCTTCAACAACCGGCTAACGGCTGCTCGATATGTTGAAGATAACCTACAGGATCATGTTTTGCCTTATTCGGGGTTCATTGTGTTGACATTTTATATATTTTTTTTAGATTACATCCGGTAGGTAAATACTTTGCTTTGTTATTGGGTGTGGATTTGACTTTTGAGGAAGTCAAATCCAAATACCCTATTTAACCACCTTAATAGCAAAAATAGGCTATTTTTGCCATAAATGTTGCAAGGTGGTTAAATTTTTGTAAGGAAGTTAACGAAATGGTCATTCGTAGATTAACAGTCGTTACGTCTAGACGCATATTGTTGAATCTATGTAAATGTTACTAATTAGTAAAGTGTTAACTCCGATTGTGATAAAGTGTCTTGGTGTGTGATAATAAGTGACTATATGTGTGTCGCAAAGACTAACGCCACATAAAATATACAGTTGTATAAAAATCAAGTTTTTTTTTATAGAAGAGGTGGCAAACGAGCATGCGGCTCACCTGATGTTAAGTGACTACCGCCGCCCATGATCAATCGCAACACAAGGGGAATTGCAGGTGCGTTGCCGGCCCTTTAGAAAGGAGTAAGCTCTTTTCTTGAAGGTCCCCAGGTCGTATCGATCCGGAAAAATCGCCGGTGGTAAACTATTCCACAGAGAGGTCGTACGCGGAAGAAAACTCCTTGTGAAACGTACAGTGGTGGACCGCTAAGGATCCAGATGATGTGGATGGTATCGAGACGTTTGCCGCGTAGTGCGTTCACGAAATTTGGCGGCTGGGATTAATCCGAACAATTCCTCAGAGCACTCCCCATGGTATATGCGAAAGAAAATGCAAAGAGATGCAACATCTCTTCGCAGCGCCAGTGAATCGAGCCGATCGGAAAGCACTCGGTCGTCGACGGTTCGAACCGCTCTGCGCTGGATGCGTTCAAGTGGAAGGAGCTGGTACTGGGGAGCCCCAGCCCAGAGATGGGAACAGTATTCCATGTGCAGCCGAACCTGCGCCTTGTAAAGTTGCAGGCGGTGTGCCGGCATGAAATACTGTCCCGCTCTGCTGAGCAGGCCACGCTTTTTAGAGGCCAATTAGGCCTTCTCTTCCAAGTGACCACGAAACTGCACGTCACTCGATATGTCGACGCCGAGGATACCGATACTGGCTGAGGCAACAAGGGGAGTGTCTTGAAACTGGGGAGATACGACAAGGGGTTCTTTTTAGCGGTTAACGCGCAAAACTTGTGTCTTCTGGAGGTTAAACTGGACTAGATTTAGTCGCCCCCAATCCGAGACTCTGTTCAGCAAATACTCGACTTCAGACACAAGTTTGTCCCGGTACTCGGAGACGTTTTCCCGAGAAATATTGGCACGGCCGGTGTACAGAGCATCACCAGTGCTGTCATCTGCATAGCAATGAATGTTACGGGTTTGCAACATATCATTGATATGCAGAAGAAACAGCGTTGGCGATAGCACGCAGCCTTGTGGAACACCAGCATTAATAGGCTTGTAATCGGAGCTTGCACCGTCTACAACGACCTTGATGCTCCGATCTGCAAGAAAGCTGGTGATCCAATTGCTCAATTTCTCGGGAAGCCCATAGGAAGGGAGCTTCGAAAGAAGCACTTGTGCTAAACCCGATCGAAGGCCTTCGCAATGTCTAAACTAACGGCCAATACCTCCCCCTTGGACTCTACTGCCTCCGCCCATCTATGAGTTAGGTAGACCAGAAGATCACCAGCTGATCGACCACGGCGAAAACCGTATTGGCTGTCACTAATCAGCTGGTGATCCTCAAGGTACCTCATGAGCTGGCAGTTAACAATAGACTCCATTGTTTTGGAGAACAAGGAGGTGATGGCGATAGGCCGGTAGTTGGACGGGTCTGAGCTGTCTCCTTTTTTAGGGATCGGGTGGACTAAGGCCGTTTTCCATGATTTTGAGACTACGCCTAGGGAGTAGGAGTACCGGAAAAGACGCGTTAAGACCGGTGCCAACTCTGGAGCACACGACTTCAGCACAATTGGGGGGATTCTGTCAGGCCCACTCGACTTGTGGATATCCAGGGCGAGGAGTGTTTGCGAACCGAGCGCTGTGTGAACTGCACTTCCGGCATGGAGCACTCACACCGCGGGATGGTCGGCGGCGTACTCCCCCCGTCATCGAGAGTCGAGATGGACGCAAAGAAAGAGCCTAGAAGATCGGCTTTCTCCTTTGCGGTATGGGCCAGTGAGTCGTCCTCCCTGTGCAGAGATGGAAGAGATGGCTGACAGAAATTCCCCTGGACAGCCTTGGCGAGAGACCAGAATGCACGAGTTCCAGAAGGAAGGCGAACTAGTTTCTCGCCAATTCATATGTGCTCTGACTTTGCCTTGGCAACATCCCGGGACGCTGATGCGTCAGCACAGGCTCGGTAGCACTTCTGCTTATAGCATGATGCTATTTTACAGGAGCGACCAAACCATGGCTGAGATTTGCCTCCAATGGGCACCACAGAGGAAGGAATAAAAAGTTCCATACCCTGAAGTACCACATCAGCGACAGAATCCGCAACAACGTTGCGATCATCCGGCGAGAAGCAAACCCGCCCCCAAGGGTAGGATGCAAAGAAAGACCGCCTCCCATCCCAATCGGCTGACCTATAGTGCCAAACACGGCGGCAGCCTGAATAATGCAACTGCGATTTCAGCGTGAGTGGCACCACACTCCGGACAAGGCAATGGTCCGAGGAGCCTAAAGGGGCGTCGACGGAAATCTGATATCCGCCCGGGTGAGAGGTCAACAGAAGGTTCAACAGGGAAGGTGTATGATCCTCCACATCTGGAATCCGCGTAAGCGAAGTAATAGAAGAAGAAGAATAAGGCTGGCATTGGTCTGACCTCAGTTGTGACAGACCATATGCCAAGGCAAAATCATGAACAGATCTCCCCCGCATGATCGTTTAAGCGTGAACCAAGCCATTATTTATTTTCCATTCGGCGTGAACCAAGCCATTATTTATTTGCCATTCGGCGTGATGGGCGTTAAAGTCGCCGAGGATCTCTCGATCGATCTCTGCGGAGGGGATCTGCTGTAGCAACGAATCTGTCGAACCATTTGGATGTGGTCGAAGAGTCGGTCTGTTTCGGCATTACCGCTATGGGACCTATAGAGGCACCCGTAGACGCGCGGATGGTCGTCGCTGTCTACGCGTAGCCAAAGGATGGACAGGTCCGAACCTTCAAGACTGCCGAGGCGTCGAGAACAGATGTCCTCTCTGACGTAAACTCCAACCCGAGGCAGAAATTCACGGATAGCGTGGCAGGGGTCGCTTTGGTCTTGTTGCTCCATTTGCCACGAGCAGTTGTAGTCTTGAGCGGAATTTCCCCACCCCACATACCACAAGACGATGTTAAAAACATCATCCAGAGTATGCCAGACATAATGCAGGCAGTTACTAGAGCTAAAGAAGGAAACACGCTGTATGAACATGTATACACAATAATAAAAAATTGGCTCTTTATTCTGTAGGGTTTAAAATACTAGCTGAGCTTTGAATTCTAATTTTCCTTAAGAGTGTGTAGTTTTAATGAAACTCTGCTACACACTTAATTATTGGTGTAGTTACCTTTTAATAATCATGAAAAAGTACTGAAAACTTAGTAGACATTTATAGTGTCCACCTATGCAGTATTAATTGAAGAAAAATTATTTAAAAGCATGCTGTCACAAAATTCAATCTTGGCAAAGTTTCCATGCCGGTGAGTGTAGTTTTATGACTTAAGAAAAAAGATCATCTCCTTCATCAGACTGGTATCGGTTGATGGAGATGATCTGTATTTAGTAAGAGATCATTAGTAAGTGGCTACTGCAGTGTTTGGACACCTGCACCTAATTTCAAACACAGAAGGCTACAAATGCGTGTTCACTTGTCACCTCAGAGGACTAAGATAAGATGCCTGAAAATCTGTATTTATACAACCTCTCTATACCCATCATCAGAGGTACACAGCAGTGTATTGCATTTCAAACACTGCTCTTTGGCGACAGAAATAGGTTAGGCGGTGGTACCTAATTAAACTGATTCTTAGGTATAAAAGAATTCTATCTAAAAGGTACTTCCATACCTGGACATGAGCTGGATAGCATAGGCAGATGCTTGGAGTTAGGATCGGCTTGCTGTTCCTGGTAGCGTTGCAGAAACTCCTGCTGGGTTTCCAATAAGGACAGGTCTTCTGCTACTGTCATGTCTAGGACTATATCAGCGCCGATGCTCTTGAAGTAACCTATAAGGTTATAAAATTCGCATATATATTTTTTATAAAATCAAAGTAACAAGCGAGCACACAGTCCACCTGATGGTAAGTGGTTGCTGCCCATAGACACCTACATCTGTCCTCGATTTATAATCAAAATGCAGATGCATTGTCACCCATGACAACTAAGATGGAGTTGCCTTGTTCCCAGTAAAAAGGTTCTCTGATTTTCTACACTCACTATCACAAAACACAGCATGTGGCATTAAGCTGCTATTTGACGCTGGTATTCTGGCTGGCTGGTAAGTGCGTGGTTTTACCCCTGACGAGCCATTCTTTAATACAATCTTTTAAAACTGAGTAATCATTATGAGGAAGGCTTAAGAACTAAAAGAGAGATAAGTAACAAAAACCTGATACAATTCATTCAAATACACCGTAAAAATTTGTTTTTACTATTTTGAATTTGACCCGGTATGACATGCTGGTAGTTGATGGATGCAGGTGGTTCAGTTGTTTTGTGGTATTCCATGAGACAGGCCTATGTTCAGAAGTGGACTTGTGAAGGGCTATAATGATGATGATGAAGATGAATCAAAAAAATCAGTTCTTTAAGTGTTTCTTTATAGTTTCTTGAACACATGTGATACTTCACACATGTTCAAGAATATATTATATAAAAAATTATTATTATAAAGGTCCCTTGATTATATTTACAGTTAAATGTTACGAAATTTGCTTTCGCCATTTTGAATTTATTATTCAATTTTATGAGCATATTATGGCATATTAATTATAAAAATCCATGATAGGAGAGGTGTTTTTCGAGCTCTCATACCTTATTTTATTTATTCATTTTAAGCCCCCTAAGGACATGTGTCATGAGAGCAGCATGGCACTGTGCATGTGCTGAGAAGAATGAACTTATTTTAGCCATCATGGTCAATTGACTTAACCCGAGGTGTGCTGACCCCTCGTATAAGAATATCCACTACCCCATATCGTGCCATGTGTACCGTAAGAGGCGACAGAGGGAAACCTAACCCCAAGATGGGCAGCAGCAGTTGCCGTAGCAGCTTCTTCCTGATAACAGCTCAAAACCAGATGAAACTATGAAATTGTTAGAAATTATTGTGCACTCTCTAACTTTCATAAAATGCAAGGTTACCAAAAAAATATTATTGAATATTAGTAGTGTTAACTCACCTGCTAACTTCTTTGTAGCATCTTCTGGACTAAGTTTGTACCTCACAGCAAGCGACAGAATTGGCTGTGGCGACATGGACACCACGACGAGACTGACATCATTTGTAACTCCTCGCGAATCTGTGTACTTGCGTTCAGAAAGTACTCTGCAAATGTTTATAGTAAATTTTTCATAAAAGAGCGAGTGAGAAGAAGGAAAACAAAAAGGAAACTACTCAACCCATCTCTCTCCCTCGACACTCAAAAAATAAAATTAATTTCTAATTTAAATGATATTTGATATTATTTTTTATGGAATAAGGTTGACAAATACACACACAGTCCACCTGATGGTAAGTGGATGCTGTGGCCCAAAGACATATGTCTTCACATCACATCTACATTTTTTTAATGTTGTCACTTAGTAGAATAGTAAATTATATATAATTATACATGGTAGGGCCACACTGCAGCTATATTATGGCCACAGCAACTCAGGGTCAACTACTACCGGAGTAGAACTTAGCGTAAATTTCAATACAGTGAACACTTTGAGTACTTTATTGAATGTTTGGTGATTTAGCCGAATATTATATATTTATATAATATATTTAGAAAATGAAACGAATATTCGGCCCATCTCTAATATATAAAAGATTATTATAACAATGCATGGATACTATTTACAGTTAAATGTTATACCTAAGCAATTCTTCCTGGCTCTGGCGAGTAACTAGAACACTTTCGGCAGAAGTGATACATCCACTGCAAGCAAGGCAATCTGCCAATGTGATCTCTACCTTCTGTAATTTCTGCTCACGACCGCTCGATACATCAAAGTATCCATCATCACCGATTTTGATCTTCGCGCCAGTTTTTGTTTTCGTCTTTTCTATCTTCACTGGTTTTATACACTCCTGTCCAAAAATAAAACCAAACTTTAAAGTAACATGTTAAACCATCGTGAGAAAGATTGCGATGGTTAAGTTCTAAATATACTTTATAAATTTTACCGTAAGATTTTATGAACTACACAAAATACATGCTACATTAAAGCTTAATTACTAACCTGTGACGGTGTTATGAAATCATCGAGATCTGTCAACTGTAAAGCGCCACTAAATCGAGAAGCCATTTCGAATACTATATATTAATTTCAAGATAATTTAAACATGGATAAATATTGCTGAAAAAGTGTATGTAGAAGAACAAACAAAACATCAGATTCAAGACAAGTTACAGCTGATTTTGACATATTATGATCTTTTTTTATCTGGGTTTACGGCTCTTGAATCTAGCCTTTCTGTGTATGAAGTTACAATGTATAATAATTATCTTTAAAAATTAGAAATGTCACGAAAAAAACATTTATCAAAAATTCACTTTCACACTGATCATATAACTCAGGGAAAACTCTTTTATAATTTAATTTGTGGTATGGTTTATACAAATCATCATTTTCCTGCTGCAGGTCTTGATTACGCTTTGGCGGTTTCCTTTTCTCACCCGCGTCATGATCCATACCTTTGCCGTCACTATCAGATGGCATTTCTCTTTATTTCGTATGAAAATTAGTGAATTTTTCTTCAAAAGTTGAAGTTAAAATTAGATTTTTGTAATTTTAATTTAAAGACGAATCATATCGCCAATTCAATACTGCCCCGGTCACGACCCTCAACGTCTTTAAATAGGCCTTTTCCACCGAAACGTCCAGAATATTCCAGCAAATACCGGCCCCGACCGACCACGTGCAGAAAGTTCGAGTGTGGGGCTTTCTAGAGAGCTTAGTTCTTCCATTCGATACTAGATGGCGCTGTTGGTGGAAAGTTCAGAAATGGTATTTTCTAGAAAGCCCTCCTCGCTCTGTTCCCCGACACTAGATGGCTAGTGCCAGGTACCAGACATCAACTTGGTGCACAACAATATTATTATTAATAATGCTATTCCTATGTTGGTACCCCATTGACTGTATGCTGTTTTGACATAATTATATTAAATGATGTGTAGGTAATTAAAAATAAAAATAAACATAATAGCTGTATTATTACGATGTATAAATTGGAATTGCATTTAATTTCAGCCTTCCCATTTCCCTTCGTTAAGAAAATAATGTTTGGAGAAGTGCTTTGAGCAAATGCGGTTATTTTTTGTCCAATGGTTTTGTGCCCGTGGAATTACTCTCATCCAGTTTTTTCCCAATTATTTATCATTTTTAGGCATACAATATATAAAACAACGAAACAACGAAAATATAAAGAAGAATGTCGATATGGGGTTGTTGACTTTGCCGATATGCTATAAAACCGCATGTTTAAAATAAGTTTTATATTTCAATGTATTTCAGCGATTATATAATACATCATTTTTATAAAAATCGACTTGTTATTTTCAAAATAATGTGAAATAGTTTACTTACAGTTATAATGTAATTTAACTCTAGGATAATAAAAACGTACACACCGGTGGAAGCTTACGAATTCTGAACCATGTTCCTTACGGGAAGAATGGGATTTGCACCCTTGTATAAAACAAGCCATCTCTATTGACATATTTTATTTAAAGATATAATTTTATAATAATATTTTTAGTAAAATATTTAAGAAAACAGATGTCAGACCTAATAAAAATTACATTTGTCAAATTAATCAGCCAGTACGATCTTGGACAAAATAAATACGATCTTATTAACTTTTCTATTTAGTTGTGTAAAAAGAGATCAAAGATGACCACCTGACATTTCTTTATCCACGCATGAATTATACGCAACATCTTTGAATATATTTGTCACTTTTGACTCATTTGAAAATTAGATTAGAAAAAGCAAGTTGAGTATATTGACTCAATTTATATAAAATTGCAGGTTCTCTCTATGCATACGTATGTATGTATAGTCAACCAAATCTAAGAAATACCTTTTGACGTTTCACATGAATCATTCCGTAATAACTTTTCACCAGCGTACTCACACGATTTAAAATAACCTTTTACGTAATAAATAACAATAAATAAAATAAAAAAGCAAGATATTAAAAAATAACCAGTATTAACTTTTTTTACTTGACGTCGTTTCAATGATATGTCGCTATGTATATTACCGTAGTGTTTGGATGATTAAAATTCATTTTTATACGAATAATCGGCAAAATATACAAATAATCGCTAATCAAATAATCGAGTCATTAATTTTTTTAATGTATTATTTGTTTAATTTAATTTTTATTTCCAAAATTCTTTAAATTACATGAATCATGAATAAAAGAAGTTTTTTTTACTTTGTCAAAATTTTGTGTAGGCTCATAAAAACTCACATACACGGCCGTGCTAAAATAACCACTACATAATTTCAATATCCCGCCATTTCGGTACCAGTTACTTGACTCTACAGAGTTAGTAATTCATTCTTGGTTCTTGGGGCGATGTATAGGTTTACAACAAAATCCCAGAAAATATACAAAATTTGACGTAAGTACACAAAGTTCAAAAACTTTTTTAAACTAAGTTTGTATAAAAAGGGTTATTTTAATATTAAGGAATTTATGGATGGTAATAACCCCCGGGAAGGGAAGTGTTGTTAATTGTAACACGCATGATTGTAAGCTCTCATTTAAAAAAAAAAAAAACTAGTGCCGTTGGGTTTTTTGCTGGTTCTTCCCAGGACAGAGTTTTTTTACGAACCGGTGATAAATGAAAAAAGTGACTTTCAATAAGTATTATTCATAATCTATATTGAATAAAAAAGTTTCTGTTTCGAGAGCTGTAATGCGTAATTTTGTGACTCGGCTTTAACTTTTTGGACTGTTTCCTCTATAATAACTTTTTGTACGTGGTAGAGCCACGCTACATCTATATTATAGTTGTTGCACGAATGAGTCGGCTCAACTGAGGCAGGACCACGCTCTAACAGAACAACAGCGTAAAATAGCAGCGTAATGCTGCTGTGTTTCGTATGATGAGTGTAGAGAACCGGAGACCCTTTTTACTGGAATCGAGGCATTCCATCTTAGTCCTCAGGGATCACAACGCATTTGCATTTTGATTCTTAATTGAGGATAAATGTGTATGTCTATGGGCCATAGCAGCCACTTACTGTCAAATGGACTGTGTGCTCGTTTGTCACCCAATGCTATAAAAAAATATTCGTTGAAGCATGTGCCCACGTCAAAAAGCATGATTGGGCAAAATTGGTAGAAAAAACAAAAAAAATGATTATGGATGACTTTGAAGGAGACATTAATTTTGACTGCGTTATTGAAAATCAAATAATAATTAATATAAACAACGACGTCTCTACTAGTTGCACTGAAAGTGATTGAATTAATAATGAATTGATAAATTTATTTTTAATCTAGTTCCATCTTAAATTTTTATAACTGTGCCTATAGAAATAAGCAGTAACAACAAATACGAAGAAACTAATAAATCTTGTGTTTTAAATTATCCGTTTTTAATTTATTCTGGTATTATTCAAAACAAACTGTAAATGATTACCAACTCTAAATAATCAATATCGATTTTTTTTAAGAATCGAATATTGTACGTTGCCATATTTTGGTTGGCATGCTTGGTGCAATAAGTCTGACAGCTGTCAAAATGTATTTCTTAGATTTGGTTGACTATAATTATTTTAATTTAAACTAGCATCACAGTTAAATTACCACGTTCAGTAGCAACAGCGATAGAGTAGGTATTGTGAACAAGGTTTAAAATTACCATAATTCAATGGCTACTGTCACATTTATTACCCACGTTAATGACTTATTTTACATATTTAATTCAAGAAATGTTTTGAAGTATGGCTATAAAAAAACCCTTTACAAAAAATAGAGATGACATTTTAATAAGTTAGACGAAATATACGATTATTTTTGAAACCTTAAATTTGAAAATGGTTCCTTAATAATTTATTCACCGCGAAAACTAGGGCACCGCGTAAACTATTTGGATTTTTAATGAACATAAAGTCACTGAAATCGCTTTAACATGATTTCATAGAAAAAGGTACATTGAAATTTATCCCTTTTTATAAAACGTCTCAGAAGTGTTTGTCAGTGCTGTTAGACCTCGCAGTGGATATAATAATAATCCAACGCTTAGAAATTTTATGTCAGCTTTTAAGCGTTTAACAATGAAATAAAAACTTCCGAAAGTGGTAACTGTCTGGCTTTTGAAGATATAACCATTTTATCTAATTCGAAGTTGACTACCGCGCAGCAAATTAATTTATCTTTGATATATAAACAAAATAACAAAAGAATTTTGCTTATCTTTGGAAACGCAGAGTGAAATCAATTTTGATTTTCTATATCTGCCTTACAATGAAGAGACCTTATCACATGGAGTATAAAGGTAAGGAGGACAATCTCCAATAGGAGAATAGTTGAAAATGTGTCCATCTGTAAGCAGTAAATAGCAGTTTAAAAACTCTTCACAATAGTGCTCGAGTGGCTATAGGGTATGATAGATCACCGTAAAATACGTTGAGAGTGATTTTGAATATAAAATTTTTAAAGCAATAAAATAAAGATTGTAAAAAAAATATTGTGAAAGACTGTGCAATAAAAAATTTATAAAAAGTTCTTTAAAATTTAGACTGAAGCTACAGTGGCGCACCCTCTACACTCCATACTCCATACCTTATCAAACACAATGAACATACTATGGAGTGTAGAGGTAAGGAGAACAATCTCTCATAGGGGAGTAGTTGAAAAAGTGTCCATCTGTAAGCAATAAATAACAGTTCAAAAACTCTCCACAACAGCACTACAGGAGTAGCTACAGGAAACAGCTACATGAAATGAACTTAACAGTTGTCGACGGTGTGAAGTGTGGTGCTAAACTGCTCAGTAGCTCTAAAGTCTAAAATAAATTTATTTAGTAAATATAACCTCGAAAAAATCGTCTATCCCACTAATATTTTTCAGCGCGTTCTTTAAAATTTACCCCGTAGCTATAGTGACGCCACCCTTATTTAACGGTTTTCTACGGACACTTTTTAATACACAGTCTGTACTCCTTACACCTCTACACTTCATACCCCATACCTTATCAAACACAATACAATGTGTAGTGGAGTATGTATTCATTTTCATGGAAAGAAAAGTAAAAATTTAAAACTGCTTGTGAAGAGTGTTGCAA